TATTTTGTAGGAATAATGATTTAATGCATAAATACATACATGAACTACTGTCACTGTTACCAGTGCAACCAAAACAGTGCTACTGACAGAAAGGCTTCCATACTATGGTTAGAAAAAGTTAAAAAAAAAAAATCAAAAACCCAAAACATCTGTTAAGAGATTATTCCATATAGTAGATCAATCCTCTTTCACACATGGCTTTTTTACAACTTCTCCATTACTTTTCTTCATAGCAGAAGTATAACATAAACAAAATCCTATAGAGCTACAGACTCCCTTTAGGAGCATATTGCCTGCACTCACTGTTTACAAATAGTAAAAATTTTGGGGGTATTTTCCAGTGTAGTTTACATTTGGGATAATTTTTCATATATACACAAACATATATACATATATCTGTGTGAGATATAGATCTACAATTTCAAGAATACTTTGGCAGACAATTTCATAACAATGGTAAACGGCACTTAAACTGAAAATAGCTTTTATCTTCCATTGTCAAACTATGAAGTTGTCTTAGGCTAAGTATTTTTCCTTAAAAGAAATTATATAAAGTGACAGAATAATAGAAGCCTAACATGTTGCAAAGAACATAAAAATTATCCTATAGAATTCAAAGCACCTTGAACACTATAGAACCTAGGAGTTATAAAAGAGCATGAGGACAACACCACACAAGCAGCTGCCAAAACATCCTGTCACCAACCACACGTCACTGTTGAATTTAAAAAAGTATATTTCTCCACCTCATCATCAGATTTCTTAAAAAGTGTATTTAGTCATATTGGCAACTCTAAAAAAAAAATAAACCCAGATGTATTTTTAAGTTTGTGATACCAAGTTTTTATTATTGATCAGGGTGGCTTTTCTCTGGCCTCCCAGACAGCTTGAGAGCAATGGTTGGTAGCCACTGGCAGGCAGAGCCTTCCTCAGCTGTGCTTTGGGTTAAGCACCATCTCCTTCTCCTTCCTTTTGCTGGCTTTGCTGAGGTGGAGTTAAATTTTTTCCCAGTCTCTGGTATAGGTCTGTGTTCTGAACACCAGGATGATGATACAGAGATGTGTTTGTTATTGGCTCACAAGGAGCCAGGGCCTTTGCTGCTCCTTGTCCAGCCAGGACAGGAGACTCCAGCTGACCAAAGGGCTATTCCAGACCATGTGACGTCATACTCAGTGTATAAAGTAGGAGAAAAAAGGAGTAAGAGGAGATATTTGAGGTAATGGTGTTTGTCTTCCCAGGTCTCCATTCCCCAGGATGGGGCCCTGTTCTCCTGGAGATGCCTGAACACCAGCCTGCCCATGGGAAGGGATGATTTCATTCCTTGTCTCGTTTTTGTTTTGCTTGTGTGGATGTCTTTTGCTTTCCCTATTAAATTGTCCTTATCTCGACCCACAAGTTTTCCAGCTTTTACCCCTCAAATTCTCTCCCCTATCCCGCTGGTGGGGGAAGGAAGGAGCGGCTGCCTGGGCCTTGGCCATGATGCATCTCCATTTGAAGAAATTAACTCCACTTCTGAAAAGAAGTTGTTCCACTAAGATATGGAAGCTGATTTTTCTATGTTGTATAAAAGTCTCTGAAATCAGCCTCTGGCAAATCCCTAGGTGTACCCAGAGCAGGATCATCCTGTGGCCCAAGAGGGAGCAGCTGCCTCAGCGGCCACTGCAACTTCCAGGTTAGCTCAAGCACTCCCACAGCATTTCTCCTTCCCAGCCTGTTAGTTCTGTCTAGTCTGCTGTGTGGGGTATTTATTTATTTTAAACCTGATGTGATTTGTTATCTTTTCTACAAAAGGGCTGATCAATGTTCCCCACTACTAACTCTAAGCTATCAGACCCAAAAAATTCAGTTTTCATTGACAGCTTGAATTCATGTGATCACAGCAGCAGTACTAACCACTAAAAAAATAACAGGAACACTTCACCAAAGCCCTAAACACTATTTGATATAAGAATTGAGATATTTCAAAGCTACACTCAAAAGCCTTGGCATTACTTTCAAGAGTAGATGTCTTCTGCTGCTTCTCTTCGAGACTCAGGGAGCTAATTTCAGTCCTTCAAGTGAAGTTGTTTATGACAGGGGATAGTATTTCAGTCAGAATTCTAAGTTTAAAATTTTTTTTCCTGAAATAGAATGCATGTACTGCATTTTGTAAGAAATTAAGGGTTAGAAGTTAGGAAAAAAAAAAATCTCTATCCTTCATTCAGTTCACTTAGACCATTCCTATTTAACAGGACCAGTGCCATCTTGTAGAATAAAAACATAGTGCTGAAGTATCACTCTGCACAAATGCAGCATTTAAAAAACTCTTGAAGTTTTTAAAGGTTTTTAAGAGGTGTACCCAAGAATGTTCCAGAAGCAGTGGAAGCTATGAGAAACTAATTCAAAACACTTACAGTATGCCAAAATGGTTAGCTTATGATTAAACTGTAATATCTCCTCTTTTTCCTGTATTACCATGAGAACCTTCTAATTAGGATCCCTGGCTTCCTAAGGTAGATTAAATAATCTATTGTATGCTCTAGAAAAGCCTTTTATACAGACATGCTATATTAGATCAAACAGACCTTCTGACTCAGGAGAAAAATATAAACAAGGGTCACAAAAATAAGTGTTATCTTGATACCTGTTAAACTTGAATATTGTTCAAGTACAAAAGAGTTGTGATAAAATAAATTGGGTGTTTTAGTGTGGATGAATATGTAATATTTATATTTAATGGCCTATTGTTATAAATTATAAATGTACTTTAAACATGCATATTATGATAGCCCATTATTAACTATAACTATTTTGTCAGGCAGTAATTTGCATTTAATAATTTCAGTCATTTTCTTATTCAGACTGTCTTTTCCCTTTCGAGTTTTTACTCCTCTGTTCCTCTGGGCTTAGGTTACTTTTTCAACGCTGCAAACTGTTGGGATATAATGGTTAAATAATGTGAAATTGCACTGATGCCAGTGAAATAAAAGCGAGTTTTACAAAACCAAGTTCCTTCCCTGAACATAATAACAGTAAATTTCTAGTGTCCTGTAGTGCAATATCCATTAGATTTATTATGTTGCAATTCCCAATCCCACTAGTTCTGCCTGAGGGTGAGTATATTACATTTCATCACAGTTTCATTTTCTCCTACAGATGAGAAATGGGAATGCTATTGCAGTTATGTAGAATGCATGTGTTAAATCTGATCTCTAATAAAATCAAACACATCACAACTCACAGCACTTTAGCACAGTGTCGGCAAAATGAAACACCATCTGTCATCATGTAGAGACTGCCTTATTGTAACACAAAATCAAACTGCTCAGTGTGAACATTGTTATTTAATAAATGGGTAAATGGAAACTGATCATTATGATCTTATTTATTTTAAATGACTGGTTAAAGCTACAAAAAAAATGCATTCTAACTTATCAATTAGATGTATGGACATTACACTAACACCAAAAGCAAATATCCATAAGCCAAGCCAAAATTTTAAATGCCTTCAGTGAAAGAGTGAGATAAATATGCGAGACGCATGCTTACAACAAAGACCTGCCAAAATTTAGGCTAAGGATAGAAACTGATGAAACAAAAATTCACTGTCTGCACTCATGAGACAAAACCAGCTGAATGCTATGTTGTTAAAGAATAGCTACTTGTAGCAAGCAGGTTTTAAAAAAAGCAAACACCATGCTCTGGTCTGAATGAATTGCAGTGATAAAGGTTAGTCATCATCCCAACAAAAGCTGCATTCCTAAGAGCTGCTTCTTTAGCCATTTTAACACATATCAGAGTGAAGAATGATGCAACATATTTGCTGTTAGTATGAATTAATTGCCTTAAAGAAAAAAGCATTCATCAACTAAACTGTTCCTTTCTATTGACAAGAACAGATAAAACAAGTTTTCAGGTTTATAATTACAAGAACCCAGATTTGACAATTTAAATGCCAGCTTCTAGTTATATAGGTTACTTCTGCTATTATAACAAAAACCTAAGTCATTTATCTTCAGAAAGGATCTTCACACACCGAATATGTAGTTTTCAAAGAGCTATTACTGTATCTGCAGAGACAATAACATGTGCTGACAAAATCTTAATAGTCCCATTGCCCTCATATCATATTTAAAGGACCCATGAGCCTGGTAAGATGTCAACAGAAGTATCCAACACAGCAGCACTGACACTCTGTGATGTCTGAGGGAGCAAACAGAATGCCAGTAAAATCTCACATGTTTATGAATGTGAGAATTTTCTCCATTCCACCAATATTGTATCATGACTTGAGCAGCCATTAGCATTTCACCAGAAATGCCCCACACTATGAATTCATTTATGATTATTTTGCTCATTGTACTGGCCTCAGAGGTTATTACATATAACTTAAATATATCATAGAAGCTATCTGTTTGGTTTCTGTTTTGTTCAAGGCTTTTCTTTAAATGTTTAAAAGAAATATTTGCCTTTAAAAAAACAAAAACAAACACTATCCCTCATTTCAAACATGCAATTTTTTTTCATATGGGTAATTTACAAACCTAGTAGGTAAAATGGATGCAGAAAATGAATAAAACCTCATTATTTTTACAGTGCAAATTAGGACTATACACTGAGTTATATTTTATGTTCCATTGATTTCGATGGCACATAAAATTATTTTTAAAATGACAGACCAATATATAGCCTTAAATAAAATTCTCAACATTTGGGACATGAAACATCAGGGCACTTATTTCTTTTTTGATTTGCCTTGTTGTTCTCGGGCCTTGAAACATCAATGTTTGTCACAGAGAAATACCTACCAGACAAGACCTCCATAAAACATAGGCACCGAGTGGAGAAATAAAAACAGTAAGTGTCCTTTATCCTGCTAATTCTCCAGGCACTGAGGGAGAGAGTCATTTACCTACCACCGAAATGCAGGCACTTGCAGTGAGAAGCACAGCAGCTGTTTAAGAGCCGCATTAACGCCGCTCAGCAGCGCGGGACAGGCGGCCAGGAGAACATCCTATTGAGATGAAAGTGGAAAGAGAAATTACAAAATCTAACCATAATTACCAGGGCTGGAGTGGGGCCAGGAAACAGTCACTGCAGCATCTTGAATAACCACAATAATTCTGCAACTTGGTTTTATAGCTCAGCCAGGAGATGGCATCTCAATCAGCGCTGAGCTCTCTAAGGCCGTACTGGGACACTGCTTTTAGTGCAGAGCAAAAGGGAAATTAAGGATGGAGAACCAGCTTTATGTGTAGTTGTCATGGCTCTTGTTGCCTGAAATTAGATCTTAAACATTAATTTAACATAGAGTTTTTGTGTTGATTATATCAGATTAGGAAGTTATACAATCGTATATGAGGCTTTTGAGAACACTGAAATATTCTGCACACAGGGAACACTGATATACTTTCCGTATGTGCTTCATTTATTAAAGCACTTATACAAGGGAGCCCTTAGAGAAGAAACATCTTTCCAGAGAGACTCTGGAGGTTTGGTTGCTAGGAAGTTACATATGCTTCTCTTTTTAATGAGATTTAAAGTATCGTGCTTTATATATTTTTTTCTACATTTAGGATATTCACCATTATTTGCCTTATTTTGTACTTCATTTTGCATTTCTGGCATGTAATCTCTGTGTGTAAAAAACAGCTTTTGTAAAGAATTCCCTAAGAAATTCCAGAGAGGCTACCTTCCACATTTTTTCTCAAACAAAAAAAGCCCAGCTCATACAGCATTTTCCTTTATTGACATGTCTGCTGCAGGCATTCATTCATCAAAAATTTGTTTCCACCAACTGGAAAAAGAATGAATCTTGGCCTGTACCACAGTAACTATCAGTGTGGATACTGTGTGCCTTGTATATACTCTCTTCTGTTTCTTTATAACACAAATCCTGCTAGCTTTATTTTCAGAAGAGATGTCTAAGTCTGCCTCTTCTATTTTTTTGAAAATTACCGATATAGTGTTTAAAGAGAAATTTTGTAAGAACAAATAACTCAACTCTTCTTACATTTAAACTTTATTTAAAGGCACAGCCATTAGACAAAAGAAATTCTAAACTGATGTAGTTTTAACTGCCCATCTTACGAAAGCAAATAATTATGTAAATGCGCAGCAGAGCCAACTTCTTACATGGCCTTTCTTCATTTGCATAATAAGAGATGCTAATCAAAGGTCAAAAAATGGTAGCAAACATTTCTGCTGAAATTAGAGACTGATAAGGCAAATTATGACATAGTTTTTGTTTAAGGAACTGCTTTGAACTGCAAATAGTTTCAGAACTGTGTATTTAATATGCATAAAAAATTATGGAATGTGCTTTGCACCAGCTTCTTGTACCAGTGTTTAATTGTGCTTGCACTGCAAATACAAACAAATACAACCACTTCAGTATTATAACTTAACACAACTCAAGAAGTATGAAGATAGTAGTTGATGAGCTGTAGATCTCCAAAGCCCTGCAATATGGCCATAAATATCTCTCATCCCTTCCATGCAGTGGTTCCTATCCTTTTCCACACTTCCCAAAGAAGTTTCAATTTCTGCTTTCTCTCCATTTCCTACTGAGGCCATAATGTACCTATGTTGCTAAACTATTATTCACATCTAGTTACAAAGATCTAAAAGGCAGGTGAAATTTCTGTCACTGGGGAGAAAGAACTGTGATGAGACTTGGTTTGTTGGTTTGGGGAGGTGGGTTTTTCACCCCCCAGAAACCCGCAGCTTGTCTTTCAATTTGGGCACACAGCAATGTGCTTGGATACAGCTGCTGTCTAAAGCACAACACCCATCAGATAGCAAACCAAGGTATGAAATATGAGACAACCAGAGAAGTACAAACTAAAATGTATTTCGTGGCATTAGAACTTTGGAAGTTTAAAGAAAAATTTGCCAAAATTTTACCACTCCAATATTCAGCCTTGGCATTTTAGTATGTTGCTATTTTCTGACTGTATTACAAACACAAGGAAAACTTATTTATGGCTCCTGCCATCACAAACAGTTTTCGGTGTAGAACTTCCCAGTGGCAGCAGGAGACAATTCAAATTCTGTAAACATTCACAGAAACACCCACCAACCACCATATGATGCTATTTCTTTGTTCAAGCCAGTTTCTTTTTAATTTTAACTATATTTAGAATAAAATTTAAATGAGAATAGCAACGGTTGTCATTGCTTTTTATTCTGTTAATGTTTCCAAAGCTCACTCTCAGTAACTTTGCTATTTGCTCTGTTACATGTTGCTCCTGTAACACTGACAGACAAGAACTTCTCAGTCCTGATACCCCCTAACATAGGGAAAGTTTCCAAATTATGAAACTGGGATACTGAAGCTGAAAGAGATTTTTAACTCAAGCCACCCTAAAAATCTACATTAATATCAGAAATTAAACACAAAGCTCAGAAAACATAGCATGAAGATCATATCAAACAGATAAATAAAAAGCTAACTCCATAAACACAATACCATCCCAGCTGCAGGTAGAATATTTACTGTTTGACCTGCAACTCTCACACTGCACTGTCACACATAAATCAGATTTTTGCAATACAGGGATATTTCTCTTGCAATTGCAGCAAAATCTCATTAAAATGAACTGGCAGACAGAATATTTCTCTCTTACAGAAAACTGGTGAAAAGCCAATAAAAAATTCCTTGCCTGCACTTCATATTCAAAAATTTTCAGCCACTCCAGCTGTAATATTTATGCTGTCCATGTGGATAGATATATTCAAGCTGTAGAACACAGTCAATATCCTTCCCACCTATAACAAAATAAGCCATGTCTTCAGATGCCTCCATGCACTTTTGCCCGCTGATTTACCATTAAACTGCCACCATGGAACACTGAAATAATAACTCCTGAAGCACAGCTTACTTTTTTTCCAACCAGTTTCTTGAAGGTTGGCTTTTAATTCCCCTCAGAATATATTTGATGGAAAGCACACTGGTTATTTTTATAAGCTGGCTGACTCACAACGAACTATCTTCTCTCAATTACCAGTAACACACACTGCATGTTCAGTTTGGATTTTTGTTTGGAACAGAGCTAAAGACCAGAAACCACAGCCTTCTCACATAAATTCATCACTCAGCAAAATTATTCACTTTCCTCTGGTACCATAATCCCAATAACTTTCACAAGCACTGAGGAAGTTTTAATTAAAACAAAGTTGATTATTCCAGCCAAAGGAATGCCTTTTTAGCTGTAGTTCTCAGCTTCAGTTTGTCCCTGCAGACAAGGCCCTGAAAAGAAGGGGATGAAAGGGAGAAAATAAGAATATTTTGGTATAGGTACAAGGAAACAAATATTCTGTCAAGGAAAGAAGCTTTTTCTCCCCCCTAGTGTTAAGCTGTGCTATACAATCTAGGAAAGGGAGGGGCTGTCTCTCAAAGATTTTAAACATAGAGTGCTGACACCTCTTGTCTCCTTTATACAGTTTGAGGGTGGCTTCTAAAGGGACAAATTATTTAAGGTTACAATTTTTTTTAGATTCTCTAAGTGCTAGAAAATTGCCCAGGAAGCAAAAGAACCAGTGACAGAAGAGGAAATTTTGCTTCTGGAAATTAAGGTCTATTAGGAATCTTCTCCTGATTTTTGTTAAAAGAAAACCAGAGTATCATACACTCAGGACAGACAGACAAGTGAGTGGATAATGTGCCTATAGCCTGCATGAGAGAGGCTGCACAGGGATCAGAATAATCAGTTTGGTCAGAAGCTTGGCATGAACCAGGGAGCTCAAAGTTCAAGAATCTCACAAACCCTGGCTAGGCTCACCCCAGCCAGGCGCTGCTCCTGTTCCCCTTCCTGCTGTTTGTGTTTGCAGCAGCACACAGTGGGGAGGGTGGGTTGGTGCCTGTTCCTGTTCCCAGGCAGCATCACCCAAGCTCGTCATGGACAGGGACAGCCTTACACATCACCATACCCAGATCACCCACCCACCTTAACCCAGACTGATCTCTGAGATGTTGAAATGGGTCTTCCTGCCTTGGGATCATGAGCTCCTTTCCCGATCCCTTGGTCAGCCTTGGCACTGGCACTGAACTGAAGGACACCCAGCAATGGTACCGTTCCAAATGCAGTTTCCCTTAAACAGTTCATTGTAACTTTTCAACACCCAAGAACAATGACCTTAATCACGCACTAATGTTATTCATTCTAATCCTGCAGACCAGCAATGAAGAGCGGTTGTTATTTAGTAGACATGTGCAAAACACCCACAGTGACAACTTAAAATATTCAGAACTCATCTGCTCAGTTCCAACTTCACGCTCTGACCAGTTTCATCCCAAGTTCCTCTACAGACTGACTCACCATGCTGAAGAGAACTACAGGACATATCCACTAATCCATGGCTTGAGAAGACAAGGCAAAAATAGAACTGTTTTCACCACATTCTTTTCTTTCTCAATGACCCATTTAGTGCAGCAATCAGAAAAAAGAAACCCGTTTCAACATTTTCTTATTCACTTGGAAATATTTAAATTCCATTGAAGGGCATGAGAGCAAATGCAATCAGATTTTGGCCATGAACTATTTGAATTGACTATATTTAATAAGCAGAGCTTGGAAATAAGCTGTATATAGGAAGGATCTAAACACAATGAATTCAACCATGCTTCAGTGAGATAAAGTCTAATTAAGTTTCAGGAGAACAAAGTGTGAAAGAAGACAAACAGGGCTGGGTAAATTATACTCAAAAATAGTACTGAACAAAGGGCACAATATGGAGAAAAAAGTTCTCCAAGAAGAACACACATTCTCTAGTAAAAAATGTGCTAGTGATCAAAATATCCAGAGTAAACAACAAAACAAACTATAATGGGAAAAGGCAACGCTTCTGAGATAGAAAGCACGAATCCTAAGGAAAAGAGGCTGCATAGTCTAAGTTGGAAGATAACTATAGATATGAAAACAGAGTTCAGGAATGAAGAAGCCAACATAAAGAAGTAAGAACAAAGTACCACTGGTTACTGTACATGAAAACCAAGAGATCAACTTAGGAGAT